CCCCCCCCCCCCCCCCGGGTCTAGCTATTCAACGGTGTGACTACTGAAATGCACTTTAAAGTTGGCCACGAAAAGAAAGATATAATGTTGATAAATTTTGCAGTATGTCATTTCTAAGTCACTATATATTTCAGACCAACTGCAGAAGACATGATACTAGGAGGACTGTTGACTTATCTAGTTGCTTGTCTAATACAGGGGGTTATAGAATTGATTTCGCCATAGCTCTTAGAGGTCCTTAAATAGAGATACTGTCAATGTCATTAACGTTGTCCACCGAAAAAAGACATTTACACATTTACACATTTTACACATTTACACACTTAGACATTTAGACATTTAGACTAAAATTTTGTATGTATTATTTGCCTCGCGTGCGTCAGCCTGAACTAATTTAAATGTAAAATTCAACTCGATAATCGAAAATCCAGAATGCCCTGACCATTTAGTGAGGATTTAAGATGGAGAATGGTATTTCAGCGTTTGTTTTATGCCACAGCGTTCGCGGAAACACGTGATATTTCTTTTAGTCTAAATGTGTAAGTGTAAATGTCTAAATGTCTTTTTTCGGTGGACAACGTTAATGATATTGACTGTATAATTACAGTGTTTTGTTTTGACAGTGTATTTTTTTAAACATTCTTATCTTAGATAGTGCAGGATGTTCGTGCCCTATTGGCCGGCACACATCCATTCCACAACAAAAAAACACTATAACCTCCCCCCCCCCACTTAAACCGGATTTCAAATTCTTATTCTTTTTAATTGTCTTTACATGGATTGGTTTTTAGGAGGTGGATGCTTCCTCACCGCCTAATACGCCAGATACCAAGTTTGAACCTGAGTACTTCTACGCCTTTACTCGGTTCCGCTGTTTATCAGTCAATGGCGAGAATGATCTCTATCTTGCATCAGACGAGAATGGGAAGATGATAATGGCTAAAGGAGGGTTGCGAGAATTCCCAAATCCTACTACACTTTTTATTTGTAACCAAATCATTTGAGGAGGATCTGGATGTGGCATGTGATTGGCTGATGTCAGTAGTCAGTTTAAATTTTACTTAATATTCATTAGTTGTCAGTTCAAGTGCAGGCTTTTTGTCAGTTAAATTTCAGGCTTTTGCCAGTTGTGAGTATAAAATTGTAATGTTATTTCGTCCTAATCAGTTGTCAGGAAACCCCGTCCAGAAAACATACAATATTCAGTAGTTGATTTTACTAGTCCCAACCGTAGTCAAATCTTATATAGGCTACCTCTTCATAAGTTTCGTAATTTCGCAATAACAGTCCATAGTCCGACAGTAGACTAGCAAATAGAGGGTTTGTGTGTTTGCGTACCACTATATGGGAAATAAAATCTTGTTGTTCGTGTGGCATAACTCTATATCCACATTTTTCTTACCTTATTCAGAAGTGAACATAGATTTCTGCTGGGTTATTATACCGCCATTTGAAGCTTTAAAGTGTCGAAAATATGAATCGAAACTTGCAGATATTACAGCGAAGTGAACACTTTGCCGCCATCTTTAATCTACCTTAGAAACCTGACAAAGGAAACCCAAAAAAGGCTAAGATCACAGGGATCCCACGCGAACGACAATATAACTTTGATTTTTTATCATTTTATTATTTGCATTGCTTTCATGTAATGGTTATAACATCATTGATCAATAAAATCGGTTTTGGTACCTAATAGTGTTTGAAATAAAGCTTATTGTTTAAAAGTATCATTTTTGACTCTCCTTTTTGATTGAGGTTTTGCTTGTTCTAAAGCCCTTTTAAGCCCTTTTAAAAATAGCGAGTTTATTTTTGAAAGAAGGAAAGAATGAACGAAAGAAAAAACTTATTTTGAGGAAGAAATAACTGAAGTCGATTTGAAAGAAAAGCACATTATACTCAAACACCTTTTGGCACCTACGTCATAAGTGTCCAAGATGGCGGCGGGAAGGAAGGTGTGACTGAAATACAACTCGTCTCTTTGACAGCAAATCGCGAATAAATGCTGAACGCTTCAAAAATGGCTTCTCACGAGACAGAACTTGATAAGGAGGCCGAGAGAGCATTCCAAAATGTGACCTCAACAGCAGACAACGATTTTGATGAAGAATTCGACGACGCGTTCGAAATCAAAAATTCTGTGGAGTCGAATGAAAGACTGAGGAATAAAGCAATCGAAAAAGGAATGAAATCTAACAGAGATATTAATAAAGATGAAACGATTCAAGAACAAGTACGAATACCTGTTAAAACTGAAGCATTACCAACAAGTTTACCATCCAGTTTGGGGTAAGATTTTGTGAGATTTTTAAGAAGCTACATGTGCACGTCGAAAGCGTCCATTCAGAATCGTTCCTATTTAAAAAATCGAAAATAAATTTGTGAGATAATGTTAATTTTATGTACCTAAAGCTATCTCATTAATGATTCCAATATTCTAAGCCGTCGCTTCTAAAGGATTAAATAAATGACTGATGAGAATTTTATCGAAGCATTTTGACAAGTTTTGGTTTCTATGACAACAAACAAACAGTTCGATAATATTTCATTTTTGGAAAATCATAATTTGTTTTATTTTCGCTTTTTTTTTTCTTCTTCTTTGATCTATGTGTTATCATTATGGTAGAGGCTCCTAAATTTTTCTTTTACAAAAATGAGTGAATCAAAGAATGGTCCCAAGGGACAGCTTTGTTGACTTTGTAGCTTGGGTCTTCATACAGATGGAGCTTGTAGATAAATTGGATCACCGTAAAAAGCTTTGTGAAACTGACATTTCGCATAGTCCTTCGTCGGAGTAGGTGGAAAGAAAAGATGAGAAGGGGTGAATGAATACTAAGATGGAAAATAAAGTGACCAATGAGAAATAAGCATATGAAGAAATAAAAGGAAATAAAAGGATCGAAAAAATAATAAGTGGGAAATGGAAAGCGAAGCATGACTAATTAAAAGCGAAGCGTTCATTCATTCATCCCAAGGGGATTGATGGTGCCAAGTGAGTGAATAAGTCGCATTTCTAAAGTTTTTTTACCACCGTGCAATAAACTTAAACCAAAGACAATTATGTTCATACAGATGTTAAGGAAGGCTTGATTTCAATTACAAAGGTAGGGGGAGGGGAAGGGCHGTAAAAATCTAGGGGAGGGTCGTCAGAAAGATCACTAGTCTCCTACTTAGTCTCCATATTAGTGACAACACTAATAGCAGCTGTGTAGAAGACTTATACCCCATTCACACCAAAGCTTAAACATATTTTAAAGTGGTTTAAATAAACAGGTTTGGAAAACTATCTACGAACACTGCACAATATTTGGTGAAATAATGTATGTAAACTATCCTCAAATGTCTTGCTCTGATAACATTTTACAAAGTTTCATTATATTGTAGGTTTCTAGTTTCTCAATTTTTTTCCTAATGAAAACACAGTTTAACTAAACAGGTTTAGGTGTGAATTGGGTATTAGGCACGGTCAAAGGTCAAACTTCACATGGGTTGAACCTAATTTGAAACAATTGATAATGAGGCRGTCTTCTTTGATGTCATGTTTGGCTAATGTGAAGTTCGACATTTGACCTGAGCCTAATAGATCTCTTTTCCTTGGACATTAAATATATATGATCTTTTTATTTTCTTGAATAACCAAATTATATTAGCATTTCTTTTCACTGTTTCATTCACATTAGATGGCTACTGTGTGCAGCCGAAATATTATATTTATGTTTTTGTCATTTCATTTATAATCTGAATATAATATGATTTGTATGTCAGATATACACATCTAACATCTATTTTATTTATTGATTAATTAGGTCATTATCATCATCCAGCTCACTGGAGCAAAATCGACAGACGTCAAATAAAAATGAGACAGCTCAAAAAGTTGCTTACCGTGACAGAGAGCCTCGGAAGCAGCGTGGAAGATCACATAAAAAGTCAAGTTTACCTCCCGGAATACGCAAACTCCCTTCACCTCCAACAACCYTTGAACAAGCACAGATGGAATGGGACATGGTTGAAACTGTTCAGCCAGGTACATTAAGGTTTCAAGGTTTCAAGGTTTTTTTATTTCCCAGAATGAGAATTTTATACTTTACATCACTATTTAAAAAAAATTAACTGGGAGGMRSAARAAAACAACCCAAAAGGGTTAAGAGAATATTTCTGCACCTTGAAACTATATAATACTTTCAAAGAAGGGGGAAAGAGGCAAAACTAAAATAGATTCAATACACATAAAAAGTTATATACAATAAAGTGAAGTTTGAACTAAATTAAAGTAGGAAATAAAGTTAAATTGAAGCAAAACCTAAATAGAATCAAAATTCTAAAGCAACAGATGTTTTTTAAGCTTATTTTTAAAGACTTTATGTGTTGAACTGGTTTTTATATTATGTGGTAATTCATTCCAGCTTGTGACAGCTGCATACTTAACACCAAACTTCCCATAATTCAGGTTTACTGGAGGGACATATAGATTCTTGTACATATATTATATCATAGAATGCTACTCACTCATTAATTTCTACCTTTGGGAAGTCAAAACTATTAAACAGCATCCCTTACCTGATAGTCCATATTTGTCTTGATGGTCATCATGACAGCTTCTGATCGGCTTAAATTTATTTTGGTTTAAACACAGAAGTAGTAAAATAAACTCAGCCAATTAGAAGTGGTCATTCTCACAGTCTAACTTGATGGTTACCTTTAAAAACACTGAGAGTTATCACGTGAAAGATTATGATACATGTTGATTTTGTCCTTTATTAATTTGTTTTTCTTTTTGTTCTTCCTAACGATGGAGTCTGTTTGTCAATTAAATCAAATTTGAGAAACTGAGTTCCAATCACCTGCTCRTTTTGTTACTGGCGAATTCATTAATTTTATACACATTTGCATTTGCTGTTTAGGAGCTGCAGCAACTGGTATTGGGTCACCAAGTTTAAAATTCGATGATGCCTATCGTCATTTCCAAACAGCACCATACCTGGAGCAACACAGCTCACATATCAAAACAACTGTCCGAAGGAGAGGCTGTTCGGCTATCATCTATGCACTTTTTGGGCCTCCCAAGATGAACAACGATTTATTATATGACCGTGATTTAATCTTTACGCTTGCATTGTGCATGTTCCATAACAACGAACCATTACACAATTTGATGCTACAAACTATCTACAAGAAACTAACGGGAACTAAGTTGGATTGTCCAAGATATGGTAATCACTGGGAGCTGATTGGATTTCAAGGTAAAAAAAATCTTGTTTTTATTAAACCTGGAACATTCTCTGGGCCCGGGGGGGGGGGGGGGGGGGGTACTCGGGGGGGGGGGGGGGGGGGGGTACTGCCCTACATTCGCTATACGGGTACGTGCCACCAAACAGGGTATGGTTTTCAGCAATTCTACTCTGGGACAGGGTATATGAAATCACGCTCTCCTCTCTGAAACAGGGTATCTATTTTTGCACTACCAGAAAAGGGTATGGTTTTCAGCAATCTTGCTCTGGAACAGGGTATGAATTTCAGGAATTTCACTCTGGAACAGGGTCAGGGTTCAGAGGGCTCAGCGGCACATCCCTACCCTAAATGAGCAAGAGTCCCCCCCCCCCCCCCCCGGGTCTCTGGGCTGATCTAAGTCAGGGTATAAGTAATGTATGATTATAAATCAGGGTTTTCATTAAGTTTTGAAATGATCGGAGAAAGTTGTATGTCATGAACTAAGCCCGAGAGTCCTGGCTGGGTTTTGAAATTAATAGGAGAAGACCATATGTTAGTTTAAGCAGGATAATTTTGCTAAATTTACCATGACATTCTCCAATCCCTAAGTTGAAAAGGGGCATAGCCAAGAGGGCCCAGCCCCCTATTCCTTGTGAAAGGCCCATGGGCCCTCTTCTTCAGTCATTTCATACAAGGTTCGTAATTTACCTATAACGCATGTTCTTATATGATTTCCGAGCCTATCCCAAACAGCTTATCGCCTCATCTCTCATGTACTACTTTTTTGTGGGATTCTACCAGCTCACTAGATATACAGTGCTGATGAGGCCCAATACAGGCCGAAACAGTTGTCCACAGTTTCTAGTTGAGCTGGCTCATTTTTTACACGACTTGAAGTTGTGAAAGGCCCATTGGCCCTCTTCTTCAGTTTTTTCATACGAGGCTCGTAATTTACCTATTACACACTGTTCTTATATAAAATATATATATTTGTCATTTAAGGGCTGGACCCAGCGACAGATTTACGAGGGTGCGGTCTTCTTGGCCTGGTCAATCTGCTCTTTTTAGTAACAGATCATYATATTCATTCAATCGCTCTCGACATATACCGATTGTCTCAACATGAAACGCAAAACTTTCCATTTTGTGTAATGTCAATCAACATAACACGGATTGCTCTCATTGCTTTGAGAGAAGGAAAACTGAACAGGTGAGTGCAAAGGTTGGGGGAGTCGGAGGGGGAGGGGGAAGGGAAGGGGGATGGAGGTTGAACCCTATCAGGAAGCCCAAGCATATATACTCCAGGTACTCCAACTAGTTTTAGCCTTTTTGCGACCCCACCAACCAAATTGCATAAGATTCATTCAGCCTGTTGATATCAAGTATTAGAATACTCTCTGGTTGATAGCACATGACGGGCAGTGTTTGCCTGTCATTGTAGGCTGGTAATGAGATTCATGAGATTCATTCAGCTGATTGATACCAAGCAATAGAATACTCTGGTTGATAGCACATGACGGGCAGTGTTTGCCTGTCACGTTAGGCTGGTAATGAGATTCACTGTCTCTTGTTTTCTCACTGGACTCTAAAGATTGTCTAAACGTCAGTCACCACCAACAACAGTCTTTCTCAAGACTACACTCACCCTGACGATCACACTTCACAACAAACTTCAACGCCTGGGTTCAAACCATTTTAGTACTCTTAATGACATTCCTTCAGCTGATTGATACCAAGCAAGGCTGGTAATGAGATTCATTAAGTTGGTTACTCTCAGCAATAGGATACTCTCTTGTTAATAGCACATGACGGGCAATATTTGCCTCTAATAATGATTAATAGCATACAATTACTGAATATTTTTTAAATTGATTTCTGGCAGGGCATGTAATTCACAGCGCTGTGTAATGAAAGTATTCTGTGAATTCTACGTCTCAGTGTTTTATCACATATACCATGTATGGAAACACCAACACAAAACCATAAACGACTCTGGATTCGTATTAAAAGAGGGAGAGAAATTTGCTCTTAAAAAGACAAACCTTGCTCTAAAACAGCTTGAACAAGCCATTAATGAGAGAAAGAATCTCGTCATACCGGAAGAAGAAAACATCTCGCCGAAAAACCGAGAAATTCCAGTCATGAATAAGTTTGCAGGAGTCTGTGATCTGCCTTCGCATGAAGAAGAAGAAGTACACTTGGTATAAGATGTTAGAGAATGTTATCCTCGGGGGGGGGGGGGTACTCTTGCCCGTTTAGGGTAGGGATGTGCCGCTGAGCCCTCTGAACCCTGACCCTGTTCCAGAGTGAAATCGCTGAAATTCATACCCTGTTCCAGAGCAACATCGCTGAAAACCCTGTTCCAGAAAGGAGAGAGCGTGATTTCATATACCCTGTTCCAGAGCGAGCGCGATTTTATTTACCCTGTTCCACAGTAGAAACGCTTATAACCATACCCTGTTTGGCGGCACGTACCCGTATAGCGAATATAGGGGAGTAACCCCCCCTCCCTCCCCCCCTCCCCGGGATGTTATCCTTCATGCCAGAAAACCTCTTCCATATTAAAAGAACTCACATATCAATGACTTTTTTATTTAATCTGCCGATAAGCGTATATGTGGCAGGCATTTTCACCACAGGTAGCCCAAGCTATAGGTTTCTGTGTAAAATGACGCCATTATTCAAACGACGTATTTTCCTTTCGCTGGCACCGGACTTTCAGTTAATTCGTACATGCCTATTATATTATTATCTTAAAACGTTTTAAAGAAAAGCTCAAATATTTGACCTTCTTAACTTAATGTCTTCATTTCTGACCACGTGTCAATCCCTAGAGTATTATTTCTTTGTTTAACGGTGCCGCACGAGAAGACGAATATGGATGCAACTGAAACAGAGAATCATATTTAAGAGGTTGACACTTAATGTTTCCATTTCAGACCACGTGTCAATCCCTAGAGTATTATTTCTTTATTTAACGGTGCCGCACGAGAAGACGAATATGGATGCAGCTGAAACAAAGAATAATATTCAAGAGGTTGACACTTAATGTTTCCATTTCAGACATCGCGTGTCACTCGGCTAGAGCATCATTTTTAACGGTTGCGCATGAGAATACACATGAATGAATCTCTCAAGAGATTGACACGTGGTCTGAAATGGGAGAAAACATTAAACCTTRGGTAAAGTGGGTTATACTTCTAGGAAGAGACCGATCCCGGCTATGCTTGAGGGTCCCCCAAACAATGGGTAGTTTTCCCAATAGAAAACAATGTCCGACCAACCAACTCGAAATTATAAGATTTTTTTATCTTACTGCGGTTTTCGATTTCCTGCAAACTCGGTAGTCAGGAGCTGCACGCTGAAATTTGAGTTTTCGCTGCCGTCAGTCAAAAATAATCAGTCGGAACCTTTTATGTTCTTGACTGGCGGCAATGATAAAACAATTTCACAACAAGTGTTGAAATGCTGAGTTCGCATAATATCGAAAACCGCAGTAATCTACTTTTAGAATGAATTGATTCTAAAACTGACATTTTACAATTTTTAACAATCGCAATTGGTGTCTGTTTTTTTATGCATCAAAAGCACATTTTAGCTTGTCCGACGTAGCAGCAGTAACTAGTAACTAGGGAGGTAGAAGAATGAATGCGGTATCAATGTATTTCAAACTTTCCTGGACAGTGATCTCATCCGTGCCTGGATCATTCTGATTGGTTAGTAGCAGTCTTGAGTCTCATTGCTTTGGCCATCGGGAAGACTGGCCATTCTTACGAAACATGAACAGCCTTCGCAGTCCAAGAAGATTCTAAATAAAAAAAATGATAGCATTCATTTGGTGATTAATCAACATCATGGAGACTTTCTCTCGTTCTCTAGAGGCCCATTTACAAAAAAAAAGTGATTCTGATGCTTTTAGGGCTTATAGGCCCCTTTCAAAATTAGCTTGAATACAAGGCTAACAGAAAATAAAAAAATGAAAATGGCATAATGTATTCCATGAAGAGAAAGCGTTATTTCATCTGTATTTTGCCGTTAGCTTCACTTTTGCAATATATTAGTTTTGAGCCACAAAGTGATTAAGTGTAAGCCTGGCGTAAAGTCAACCTTTTCGTGCTGTGAACAGTAAGGTCCCGCCAGAAGCTCCTAAAAACGTTGCGGCTACAAACGTCGGGTTAAACAATTGTCATCTTACGGGATTTGGAGGGGAGGGGTGGGGTTACCCTGTACCCACCATCTATGGAAGGGAATCCTGGAATTGGTCTTCCAAAATATCCAAAACTACAAAAATCAACTCGGAAAACATGAAAGCACTATTCTACCTGCATAGAGTTACTCAATGAACTATTCTTCTGCTCGGTTTGTTGTGCACATGGCGTTTGGTCTTTGACATCTCCGAGCTGTAACAATAAGTAAGCAAATATTAGTTCTATTCTCAGTGCCGGAAATATATAATGCGAAATCCTGTCTTTACACACATTCTTTCCAACGATATCAAGATTGTGTAACCCGCCCACCCATGTGATGGTGGTATGATGTGGTGCGCGATGTTTGCAGTGCGCATGGCTATACCGCTGTCCACCGTGGACAGCAGCCATTTTTAAGACTACTCCATATATCATATATATATATATGCATGTGCATTGTAGGCACTGAAAGTATAGTATAATTGCGCTGCCTTTCACTCCTGCATGGGAAAGAGGGTAATAATGAGGAGGGGATAGTCCGACTCTATTTATTCGTTATGCACTTAAACAATTTATTTGATTGACGGCAGTGCTTTCCCGATTATCCATGTCCGGTCGCCACTGTTGTCTCGATCAACTCAACTCAATGGAAACAGTATTTAATCTAATAGAGGAACAACTGGATTAGGAGAGCCTACTTTGGCGGTCCTACTGCACTGTACTAACGTTAGATTCCTAACAAGCACACCAAAACCCACCCAACGAGGAAATCAAAAATAAAGCCATTGGATACTTACGACTTCTTGTGGTTCCTTAAGTTTCTGGCAGTGGATCCCAACGTGAACGAGTAACTTGTGCCTAGAGTTAAAAACTTTTAGGATGCCATCTCTGGAACACCCTCTCCAAAGACAACGAGTGGATCGAAAATCAGTGGATCGATGAAGATGGCTGTGAAGAATGTGATGAAACAATCGATCGGTGTTCTTTTCTTTGTGATTACAAGTGTTCCAATAGCAGACAAAGTCGGCTGATCCGACATTGAGTTCCACAGAAAAACAGTTGGACGAACTGGCGGAACATGACGACAAGGACAGGTTCATCTCGGGGCTTTTGCCACGAGACGTCGATTCTGACATTTCCTCGTGGTTTGAGAAGAGACAACTTGTGCCAGTAGCCAACGATTTCAATGTTGGCTCTTCATTTTCGAATATCTGGCACTGGCTAATAGCGTCAGTTGCTCTGAAGGATACTAACTGAAATGGACTCGGAGTAAAAGTRTTTTTCCCTTGAATGAAAGCGGAATGCGACCTCTCAACGCCCCTTAACAACGGCCATTTGTCGTTTTGTGTTTCAGTATCGTTGATCTCCTGTCTTTTTTCTTCGACGTCGCTGTCTTCACCCTGGTTGGGTCTATCCTTTTCTAACAGAAACGAAGGCGGTACTACTCCGCATTCTTCAAACACCAAAGAAAAATCACATTTTAGTATCCATATCCCTGTCTGTCGAGCAGAAGGAATTTTTGGTAGAGAGCTTAAAAAGTGACCGAAAGATAAAAAATGACATTGTAACTTTGGGGAAACAGTTGGCAAACCGGACCATCGACGCTGTTTCTTCTCGGACTTTTCTTCGACGAAGCAAATGCTTAAGGGATCATGACCACATTCACCTTCTTTGAAGCATTCATTCGCATCGTTCACGTTCATCGTTTCAGGACCCTGGCCAAAAAATAGATTCTCAAAATCCTCACACTAAAACTAAAAAAAAAGTACTATCTGGAATGCAGCATGAATAATGTAAGACTTGCTTTGGTGACTATGACGTCGACAACGAATTGATAAAAGCCTACTCTTAAGTCTAAAGTTCTATGACTTGAGCCTGCGGCATCTTTTGACCAGCTGCATATTGTCGTGGACCAACCTAGAAGATCGGGAACCTCATTTCGAGACCTCTTTAGATATTAATTCTAAAGGTCTATGATTTGGTTTGCCAATTCCCATACCAAACTTGATGTGCCATTTCTAAGCGCCCCGACCAAATTTACATTTTCCGTAGAGGTGTACGATGGCTTGAAAGCCCCTTTTACTGGCGGCTGTTATTGAGTCAAACCATCCCCACCACTTTTGCCTTTACGTATATTATATACCATCACCAAGGACGCACAAATAAGTTTGGATGGAACGTAATATAAGCAACTAGCAGGCCACTGCGCGCCCTCTGAGGCTATAAATTAGGTGAACTATAAATAATACTAATATATATATATAGAAATGTCTTCTTTTTCAGTCCTTCCCGAAAGACCATTAAGTCTTCCATTAATGTTAATTAAGCCGCCAATTCGTCGCGTTCAAACATTTCTTGCTTGTTCTGGCGACACATAGTGGATTTATTTCAGCGAAAAATTACAGCGTTATCCTGCTTAGCAGGCGTTTGGGGGTGGTTCCATTGCTCAGCATTGCCAATCGAAAAATAGCCGCGCGGAGCTAAAGAAGCAAAGAGTGAATTTTTGCTCCCGCACGTCAAAATATTTTATTCTTGTGTTTTAGTCCTACAGATTATAAATCAATTGCTTTTGAGGGCTAAAAAAGTAAAATTGCAATATATATGCATCTCATTTGGTATTTGTATAAATGTATAAATGTATA